AAAAAAAAAAAAAAAAGATCAAGTTGGGGGAAAAAAAAAAGAAGTACCACCAGTATACTCCTGAGAAGCGAGCATGGTGAGACTTTTTCTCATGTAATCTGACATGTTATCAGGAGGGACAAGTCTCTTCAGAAGAACATCCATGTTCTTCTTGGTAAAGCAGAGGGCCAGCAAAAAGGAATACCCTCAATGAGATGGATTGACACAATGGCTGCAACAATGGCTCAAACATAGCACAATGTGAAGATGGCACAAGACCAGGCAGTGTTTTGTTCTGCTGTGTAGGAGTCGGAACAGACTCAATAGGCACCTAACAACCACTGCCACCACCTTTATATCACAGTATAAACAAGTCTGTTTCAACGATGTGTTGATGAACAATAAAATCTAAGTCTAGTCAGCCACTGTTCAGAAGGAAGATTGGGCAATCTACTCTAGTAGTGATACTGCGGGAAACCCAAGGAGGTGTCGCTATGAGTCGCTATGACTCCACGGCAGTGAGTTTTTTTTTTTTTAACTCAAAACTGACATAGTAGGAACAGGAATGAAGAATTGATGCATTTGAAGTGTGGTATTGGCAAAGAATATTGAATATATCATTGACTGCTAGAAAAACAAAACAAATTTGTTTTGGAGGAAGTACAATGCAGCAGGGAATATTCCTTAGAACAAGAATGGCCAAACTTCGTCTCATACTTCCTGGTGTTGTCAGCAGGGACCATTCCTTGGAGAAGGATATCATCTTGCTCAAGCAGACGCGCAAGGATAAAGGGGAAGACCCTCAACCAGATGGATTGACACAGTGGCTGCCACAACAGATTTAAGCATGGCAACGATTGTGAGGATAGCGCACCAGGCAGTGTTTCGTTTCCTTGTACATAAGGGTCGCTGAGTTGTAACCATGGAGTCCCACGGCCCCTAATGACAATAGTAACAAAAATTTGTATTAAAAATGCTATGTGGAATCATTTCCATTGTTTTTATCTTGAATTATGATGTATGCACGGTGATGTTTCTAGGTTCTATTATGATTACAGGCATCGATTTGCAAGGTTTTCCAATTCTAAATACATTCTGGAATCTGAAAAATTCCAATAGTCACTCGAGGGGCATACAGTGGGCTCTTTATTTGCTCTCTTTTTCACTCAACCTTAAATTTGGGTTTCCAATCAAACCGACAGACACCACGCGCTTCCCGCCTCGATCACAAGCATCTACTGGTTCCATCTTCAATAAATGGACCGGTTCCTATTGAAACATGGGTCAAATAATTTCAAAGCACAGGGAATGAACATCCCGCCTGCACCCTGAAGGGTGCCATGATCTTGTTAGATTTGAAAAAAGCCTCCCACTGCACATGGGGTCGTCAGTGACTGAGGGTAAGCGGCTTTGTTTTTGCTTGTTTTAGTTTGGGCCTCAGGAGAGCGAGTTCTGTACACACCTGGCCCAGGAAATAGCGAATGAATAATTTCCGTAGGCACCCTCTCTTCGAGGCTTCCCGGCCCGCCTCCCCGCCAAGAAGGTACTTCTTGCCGCGGAAAGTCTTTCGCAAGGTCCAAGGTAGCTTGCACGCTACACACGCCCCCTCCACAGTTCCTCAGCCCGCATCCGGGCCCCGCCTCTCCAGCCGCGGAAGCCCCGCCCCCGACGGCGCGGCGACCTGCAGCGACTGGCCGCGGCCGGCGGGCTGCTGGGCGGGCGCG